CCTTAACCTACTGCACCAAGACACTGGCTCAATTAACTTGTTTTAGAAATCATATACTTTCTGGGAAGGGGTAATTTTAGAGAGTAAGTTGAATGCTTTGCCACAATGACAGAGTAACAGAAAACTGTGGATGAGAGGTTTTTCTGCTTTTTAAAAAAGTTAAAAAGTGACATTAAAGCCTTGCAATAAAGCCAACAGACAAAATCAGATTTGTATTTTGGAACACAGTTTTAGCTGCTACATTATGTACAAGAGATTTAAGAGGGGAGCGATTGGAGCTGAGTTTGGTCAGGAGGCTATAGTTGAGTATAGACAAGAAATGATAAGGCAGAAGACTTGAACTAAGGCACTGTCAGTAAAGAAAGAAAAAAAGATGAATTTTATAGTTGCTCTAGAACTGTTTTGAAATAATTTTGACTAATTAAAATGAGAAAGTAGAGAGATGAGATGTTTCCAGCATTTGGCAAGAAAATCTATATCACAAATATTAAGTCACTTTCATTTCAGTACCTTCCTCATTTTCAACACTGATCGAGTAATTAATCAACAAATACTATTAATCATTTACTTTTTTTAAAAAAGATTAATTTATTTGAAAGGCAGAGCTACAAACAGTCACAGGGAGAAACAGAGACTGTCCACCTGCTGATTCACTCTCTAAATGGCCACAGTGGTCTGGGCTCAGCCAGGCCAAAGCCAGGAGCCCAGAAATTCATCCGGGTCATCCACGTGGGTGGCAGGAGTCCAAATACTTAGGTTATCTTCAGCTGCTTCCATTGGCACATCAGTAGGGAGCTAGAGTGGAAGTGGAACAGCTAGGACTTGAGCCAGTGTTGATATGGGATGCCAGTGTTGCAGACAGCAGCTTACTGTGCTGTGCTACAATGCTGGCCCCAATCACATACTTCTATAATGCCCTGAGTGACATATAGAAGTGAGATCTTATAGAGTTTAAAATCTACCTGAGGGTATATCCAAGTGACAGAATATTATTCAGCCACAAAAAGTAATAGGCTAGTGTTTCACACTGGAACATAAATGAAACTTCAAAACCTTATGCTAAATGAAGGAAGCCAAACCCAAAGGCCACATATTATCCCATTTATACGAGCTTTCTACAACAAACCATAGAGACAAAAAGTAGATCAGTGCATGCCAGGTACTGAGGAGGAAGGATAAGTGGTTAAGTGACTACGAATGGAATGATAAAAATGTCCTAGAATTAGATAGTGGCTATGACTGCCCAACTTTGTATATAAATTAAAAACCATAGAATTGTATGCTTTTTTTTTAAAAAAAAAATTTGGGGGCTAGTGCTGTGGCACAGTGGGTTAAAGCCCCAGCCTGCAGTGCCAGCATCCCATATGGGTGCTGCTGAGTCCCGGCTGCTCCTCTTCCAATCCAGCTCTCTGCTATGGCCTGAGAAAGCAGAAGATGGCCCAAGTCCTTAGGCCCCTGCACCCATGTGGGAGACCTGGAAGATGCTCCTGGCTCCTGGCTTCAGATCAGCTCAGCTCTGGCCGCTACAGTCATTTGGATAGTGGACAGCAGAATGGGAAAACTCTCTGACACTAGCTCTCTGTAACTCTTTCCAATAAATAAAACCAATTCTTTTAAAAAAAAATTTTTTTTTATTTATTTGAGAGGTAGAGTTAGAGAGAGAGAGTGGGAGAAAGAAAGAGAAAAGTCTTCCATCCGGTGGTTCACTCCCCAAATGGTCACAACAACTGGAGCTGGACTGATCCGAAGCCGGAAGCCAGCAGCTTCTTCTGGGTCTCCACACAAGTGCAGGGCCCCAAGTATTTGGGCCATCTTCTTCTGCCTTTCCAGGGCACAGCAGAGCTGGATCAGAAGAGCAATAGCTGGACACAAACCGGCACCCAGGCGGAGGGTTAACCTACTATGCCAAAGCACCAGCCCCAGAACTGTATGCTTTAAAACAGTGAAATTTATGGTATGTGAACTGTATCACAATAAAAAAAAAAAACTGATTGAAATGTCATACAAAATCCTACCATTACTGTAAAGTACACTCTTGTTAAGGACAAAACAATGAATTTTGTTGACCGACCACAGACGCCACAGGAGTAAAGAGGCCTAATCAGAGAGGCGGTCAAGAAGGGCATGGAAGCACAGAATCTGAATTTGACTAGGAGGGATGACTGGATCTGCAGAGAAGTTATTCCATGGAAAAGACAAGGCACAGAAGCCCAAGGTCTATGACAGGAACAGGAAGATAAGTTCGGGACAAATTTTTCAAAACCTAAATATCAGGCAAAAGAGAAGCCGGCGCTGTGGTGCAGTGGGTTAAAGCCCTGGCCTGGAAAACCGACATCCCATATGGACAGCCAGTTCAGTCCCAGCTGCTTCACTTCCAGTCCAGCTCTCTGCTGTGGTCTGGGAAAGCAGTAGAAGATGGCCCTAATCCTTGGGCCCCTGCACCCACGTGGGAGACCCGGAAGAAGCTCTTGGCTCCTGGCTTCAGATCAGCTCAGCTCTGGCCATTGTGGCCACTTGGGGAGTGAACCAGCAAATGGAAAACCTCTCTCTCTCTATCTCTGGCTCTATGTAAGTCTTTCAAATAAATGAAATAAATCTTTTTTTTTTAATTGGGCAAGTATTTCTTTATTCATGTTCTATGGCAGCTGGATCCTGTGAGATGCTCTCTATAAAAGGCTCCATAGAAGACAACCACAGTGCTGGGCACACAGGGAGTGCCATGAAGGCATCAGCTGTACATGTCACCCACGTATTACCCATTAGTGTAATATGTCTACCTGGAGTTTCAGAAGGAAGGGAGATTTGGTCTAGTGGGTAAAACGCCACCTGGGATGCCTACACTCCACATGAGAATATCTGGATTTGAGTCCTGGCTTTGCTCCTATTCCAGGTTTCTGTCACTGCATACCCTAGGAGTCACCAGGTAGGTGAGTCCCGGCCACCCACGTGGGAGACCTGGACTAAGTTCCCAGATCCCAGCTTCAGCCTAGCCCAATTCCAGGAATTTAAGAGTGAACCATGGGATAAGTCTTTCTGCTTTTGAAAAAAAGAAGAAAAAAAAAATAACACTGAGACCCCAGTAACAGCATCAATACTTACATTTACTGAGCACTTCACTCTCCGAGAAAACTCTACTAAGTGCTTTACATTGGCAATAATATTTAAACACGTGTGTATTATCACTGTCGATTTGTAAATGATAAAAGCAGAGTTCTAGGCTCCTGGCTTCAGCTTGACCCAGCCCTGGCTGTTGTAATCATTTGAGGAACTAACCAGCAGGTGGATGATCCCCCTCTGTATTTCCCTCTCACTGCCTTTCAAATCAGTAAATAAATCTAAAAAGAGAGAAAGAGGGTAAAGGAGCTGGCGCGGTGACACAGTGGGTAAAGCCACCACCTGTGACACAGGCATCCCATAAGGGTGCCAGTTCCAGTCCTGGCTGCTCTGCATCCGATCCAGCTTCCTGCTAATGTGCCTGGGAAAAGCAACAGAAGACAGCCCAAGTGCTTGGGCCCCTGCACCCAGGTAGCAGACCGGGAAGAAGCTCCTGGCTCCTGGCTTTGGATAGGCCCAGCTCCAGCCACTGTGGCAATCTGGGGATTGAACCAGCAGATGAAGACCCCTTCCCCACACTCCAAAACTCTGACTTTCAAATAAATAAATAAATACGTCTTAGGAAAAAAAAAGACTGGGAAATTAAAATTGATATTCCTCCATAAGCACTATGCTACCAAATAGAGATAAATATTTAGTATTTTGGGGTGTTACATTTCAGTTTAAAAGAAACATATCAGCTATGTTCCCTTTGATAGTCTTTTTTTAAAAAATGTTAACCATCACTACTTTTGAAAACAATGCTCCTCAAATGGCCAATGAAGGAAAAGAAAGAAAACAACTGCTGTACTCTGAGAACTTATCTACGAAAATCTAGGTTCTTCTCCAGATTGAAACTTCTATTAATTTCTTTTTATATCAGGTAGTCAATGTGGTCACTAGACAGTAAGTGGTGTACAAAGTCTAATAAAAGTAAGATTTGAGGGAGAGGCATTTAGCTTAAGGGCTGGGGCACCGGTGTGCCATACCAGAGTGCCTGAGGTTGACTCCTGGCTCCGGCTCCTGACCTCAGCTTTCTGCAGGTGTGGACCCTGGAAAACAGCTAGCAGGGCTCAAATAATTGGGCTCACCACCCATGCGGGATATGTGGATTGAGCTCCTGGCTTCCAGCTTTGGGGGGGCCTGGCCCAGACCTTCCGGAGTGAACCAGAGGTCGGCAGTGCTCTCTGCCTCCCAAATTTAAAAAAAAAAAAAAAAAAAAAAAAAAAAAAAGGAAATTTGAGAGTGACCAGCAGAAAAAGACTCAGATTACAAGGAAAACACTTTTCCTGCGCTGTAGAAAAATCTCTCTGGCAACTGCTTCCTCCAAAGAGTTTACCGCCCCCGGCCCCTCAAAAAAACAATGTGCAGACATTAGTAGGGGGACACAGTTGACGCTTATAAAGTTTCAAAAGTATCTGTGTCCACTTCTCTGAACACTGAGGTCAGGCGCTATAAAACGCAAGGAAAACGGGGAGCCAGGCAAGATAACAAAGTCAATAAGAAAACCAAGCAAGTCCGTAGTGTTTGCAGAGCAGAATCGAACCCCAGGCCCCCCCAAAAGTTACCTACTGCTAAACAAGAGAGAAACACAGCTCTCTTTCTTGTTCCCCTTCGTCGACACCTTCCCTGGCCAATCTAAACATCTCTTCGCTAACTGCGAGTTATTTCAGAAATAAAACTTCCTAGAATTCCCGTGAATGCACTCGAAATGAGTAAGCGACCCAGAAAAACCTGGCACCAGAGCGTGGTGGGGGAAGCTCTGCGCCGACCGCTCCCTGGCCCTCCAGGGCCTCTCGGAAGGCCCAGCAGACGCACAGAGCTGGAGAGCCCTTCCTGCCTGGCCGCGCCCGGCCACCGCCGCCCCCGCGCGCCGCAGCCCACCGCGCCGGCCCCGGCGTCCTCACCTTCCGCGTCTGCAGAGGAGACAAAGGTGAAGTCCCCGTTAGTGGGGACGTACGCGGGGGGCGGGCCCGGCGGCTGCATCTCGCGGCCCCTCCGCGCCGGCTGCGGCTGCGCCCGGACCCCAAGGCGGTCGCGGCGCAGACCCGCACGCGCGCCCTTCCGTGCGGCCTGGGAGCCGGCAGGTACAAGCTGGGGACAAGGCCGGTCGCGAGCGCAGAGGGCCTCCGAGCTGTCCTGGAGGCCCGCCCCACTCAAGTCCTCTCGGTGGCGACCGCCCAAGCACCACGACGCCGGCGCCCTGACAGGACCATAACAGTGACAGCGCCGCGAGGATTGGCCCTTTGTAATGTGCTCTCCTATTGGCTCCCGGCGAAAGGTTCTGATTGGGCCTTCCTGTTGTTGACTCCGGAAGTTTCCTTGGACAGGAAGTTCCCTCAGGTGTGTGTCCGTCTGCGCTTTGGCTGTTTTTGTTAGTTTTGACTCTGATGTTTTCAAGGTTTCCTGTACCAATTTCTTCCGTTCACACTGAGTGGATTAAAGAGTTCTAGAACTAGGCTGGTTTCAGCCACCGTCTGGGATCCCATTTCCGTTGCCATTAGTAATAATTGTATGGGATCTTGACTAATCGTCCTCTTCCTCACCTGTAAAACGACCGGGGGGGGGGGGGGGGGGCTGGATTGCAGGATAGTAATAAGAAAGCAGATAGGGCCTGGAGGTTAGCACTGGCTGTTAGCTACATTCCTTTGTGAGAGAGGCAACGGAGGCCAGAGAAGGAAAGGTGTCAGTCAGAGAATCCCAACAGGTTGGAAGTCTCCTGGCTTGGAGTCGGGTGCTGTGTTTCACTGGGTCGTCAATAAACTTGCCAGAGTATACAGACTCGCCTAAGTTTTTCAAATGTTTACGTTGAATACCCAAGCTACATAAATAGGGCTTTGAATTTGAAGTGAGAGCGCTTTGAGGAAGACTGAGCCCATCTGGGAGAAGTGCACGATGGACTTCTACTCGCTTTTCCTATTAGCCACATATGGATGTGTTCTGAACGGGAAGTCTTTGTTATTGAGGAAAACTGACGTTGCCAGCAATACCAGGCAGCAGTCAGACGTGGAGTAAAATGTCAGGGGGAGAGCCAAGAAGGGTGGGTTTGGTACTCCAGACTCCACCACGCCAGCCTCTGCCCCCTTGTAAGCTAGTAGACTAGGAGCGTCCTCTCTATCTCAACTCGCTCATTGGCCTGCTCTGGGATTGACAGCTCCCTGATTTCTTGCTCTACAAGTCTGTAGAGCAGTGGGAGGCATGACCAGTCATGTGTTGAACAGACTTTCAGGAAGATTTTCTCACAGAAGGTAGCAAGTTGTACTTCAAGGACAAGTAGAATTCTGCAGGCTAAGAGGTGTAGGGGCTGGCAGTCTGTCTCAAGATGCCTGACAACATTTAGTTGACATGGGCAATGGGAAGATACTGCTTTTACCTGGACTAGGTTTAGTGGGAAAGAAGGTGTGCGGCTGAGATGGCAGACGGGGAAAGAAGAGATTATGGTGGTAGACTCATTACAGGAATTAGACCAGGGCCCGCATTGTGATATAGCAGGTTAAGCCACTGCCTGCAAACTCGCATCTCATGTGAGTGCCAATTCATGTTCCAGCTGCCTTATTTCAGCTCCAGATCCCTGCTAAAGTGCCTGGCAAAGCACCGGCAGATGGCCCAAATGCTTGGGCCACTGGCATCACTATGGGTGACCAGGAAGAAGCTCTTAGCTTCCACAAGGCCCAGCCCGGGCTGTTGTAACTATTTAGAGAGTGAACAAAGAGATGGAAGATCTCTTTTTATCTGTAACTCTGCCTTTCAAATAAATCTTACACACAAAAAAAGGAATTAGAGTAAAGGAGTGACATAAGCAGACCTGATAGAATGTGTATTTTTTTTTTTACTTGGAGAGCATAGACTTGTATGAAGACTTTTGCAGATGCGTAAGTAAGTCTTGAACTATGGTTGCAGCACAGGGGATAGGGAAGAGGAAGGTGGTATGAGAGATGATAAAGTCAGGAATATGGGGCTAACAGCACAGCAGGGTAAGCCACTGGTATAATGTTGGCATCCCATGTCAAAGCTTTGTTTTGATTCCTAGCTGCTGCATTTCAGATCCAGCTCCCTGCTCATGTGACTGGGAAAGCAGCAGAGGACAACACAAGTACCTGCGCCCCTGCCACCCATGTGGCAAACCCAGATGGAGTTTTAGGCTCCTGACCAGCCCCAGCCACTGTGTGACCATTTGGAACCAGAAAATGGAAATTTTCTCTCTCTAGCTCTCACTCTCTCTCCCTTTCTCTCTGTCACTCTGCCTTTCAAATAGATATTTTTTAAAAAAGAGAATACACGGGACTTACTGATCAGTTGGAAGATAGTGTTAGTGAAGAAGAGGAAGGAGCCTGTGATCACGTCATGTTTCTTGCTCAGGTGGTTAATCAAGTGAAGAAATAGAAAAAGGAGCTACTCTGGTGGTAGGAGAAAGTTTAGAGAACCATAAGTTTAAGAGTATGCATGGGGGCTGCTGCTGTGGTGTAGCATGTAAAGCTGCCACCTGCAGTGCCAGCATCCTATATAGATGCCAGTTCGAGTCCTGGATGCTCCACTTCCGATCCAGCTCTGTGCTTTGGCCTGGGAAAGCAGTAGAAGATGGCCCAAGTCCTTGGGCCCCAGCACCTGCATAGAAGAACCAGAAGAAGTTCCTGGCTCCTGACTTTGGATCCGCGTAGCTCTGGCTGTTGCACCCAGTTGGGGAGTGAGCCAGTCAATGGAAGACCTCTACCTCCCTCTCTCTCTCTCTCTCTCTCTCTCTCTCTCTCTCTCTGCGTGTAACTCTTAACTTTCAAATAAATACATCTTTTTTAAAAAAAGAATATGTATGAACTACTTAGTTATTTTTAAAATATTTAATTTGTGTATTTTTTTTAAACTTTTATTTAATGCATATAAATTTCCAAAGTACGACTTATGGATTACAATGGCTTTCCCCCCGTACCGTCCCTCCCACCCACAACCCTCCCCTTTCCCACTCCCTCTCCCCTTCCATTCACATCAAGATTCATTTTCGATTATCTTAATATACAGAAGATCAGCTTAGTATACATTAAGTATGGATTTCAACAGTTTGCTCCCACACAGAAACATAAAGTGAAAAATAATAGATGATTTTTTTAAAATGATGATGAAATCAGAGCAGACCTATTGTCATGTTTAATCCCAGTGAGAGTCAAGTTGGGAATTGATAATTTCTTTTTTTTTTTTTTTTTTTTTTTACAGAGGATCAGTTTAGTATGCATTAAGTAAGGATTTAAAAATATGGAACGCTTCACGAATTTGCGTGTCATCCTTGCGCAGGGGCCATGCTAATCTTCTCTGTATCGTTCCAATTTTAGTATATGTGCTGCCGAAGCGAGCACTAATTTGTGTATTTTAAAGGCAGAGTTGCAGAGAGACAGAGAAAGAGGTCTTCCATCTGTTGGTTCACTCCTCCAAATGGCCTCAAGGGTCAGGGCTGGGCCAGGCTGAAGACAAGAGCTTCCTCCGGGTCTCTCACATGCGTGCAGGGGCCCAAGGACTTGGCTCATCCTTTTCAGCATTCCCAGGGGCATTAGTAAGGAGCTGGATCAGAAGTGGATTGGCTAGGACTGCAGGTGGCGGCTTTACCTGCTATGCCACAATGCCGGCCCCTTAGTTATTCTCTACCACATAAGGACCCAGTACTCAGAATAGAGTTCTGAATTGGAAGTATAGCATAGCAATCAACAATGCATGGCATGATAATTTTTTTAAAGATTTATTTATTTATTTGAAAGAGTTACACACAGAGAAGAGAGGCAGAGGCAGAGAGAGAGAGAGGGGAAAAGTCTTCCATCTGCTGGTTCACTCCCCAGTTGGCCGCAACGGCCAGAACTGTGCTCATCCGAAGCCAGAAGCCAGGAGTTTCTTCTGGGTCTCCCACACAGGTGCAATCTACTGCTTTTCCAGGCCATAGCAGAGAGCTGGATGGGAAGCTGAGCAGCCGGGTCTCGAACTGGTGCCCATATGGGATGCCTGCACTTCAGGCCAGGGTGTTAACCCGCTGCACCACAGTGCCAGCCCCTGGCATGGTAACTATATCTATGGTGAGCATGGGTGAGATTGTCCAGGTAGTGTGTGCTGAGTGAGCAAAGAGCACCAGCAATTATACTCCCCAATTGCTTCAATGGATGGGCCTTGATATGGCTGAAGCCTTGAGCCTGGAACTCAACACAGGTCTCTTGTGGGGAGTAGGAACACAACTCTTTGATCCTGCATGTTAGCAGGAAGCTAGTTAGGTGCAGAACCAAGCCTCAAACCGAGGCATTCTGAGATGGGAGGCAGGCATCCCAAGTGGCATCATAACCATTAGGCCAAATGCCTTCCTCTCTTTTTGTTTAAACTGCTTGAAATTTATCAGATAACCTGAGCTTCGAGCTTGTTTTCTTGAAATGTGTTACCTTTTCTAACATTTCTGCTGCTCTATTCTCTCTCCTCTCTTTCTTTAAAAAATTGTTTCTTTTTAATTTGAGAGGCAGAGTGACAAATAGAACTTTTACCTGGGGCTTATTCCCCAAATGCCTGCAATGGCTGAGGCTGGGCTGGGGCCAGACCCTGCTGTTGGGAACTGAATTCAGGTCTGGCATGTGACTGGAAGAGACCCCAGTACTGGAGCCATTACTTGCTGCCTCCTAGGGTCTGCTTTGAGGGAAGCTGGAATTCAGACCCACGCACTCCAATATTTGAGGGGAGCATCTTTCTTTCTTTCTTTCTTTCTTTCTTTCTTTCTTTCTTTCTTTCTTTCTTTCTTTCTTTGAAAGGCAGAGTTACAGAGAGAGGAGGAGAGACAGAGAGATTGATCTTCCATCTGTTGGTTCACTCCCCAAATGGCTGCAATAGCCAGGGCTGGGCCAAGCCAAAGCCAGGAGCCAAGATCTTCTTCCAGGCCTCCTATGTGGGTGCAGGGACCCAAGGACTTGGGCCATCTGCTGCTGCTTTCCTAGGCTCATTAGCAGGAAGCTGGTTCGGAAGTGGAGTACCCAGGTCTTGAACCAGCACCCATATGGGATGCTGGCATCACAGGCAGAGGTTTAACCTGCCACGCCACACCACCAGCCCTTTATGGGGACATCTTAACCATGGGGCCCACTGCCTGCCTCTCTCCTCTCCTTCTGAAACTCTAATTAGACAGACAACACTAATAGGTAGTACTTACAGCTAACAATTTCAGGCACTATGGAAAAGGGTTTACATTAATTAATTTATTTAATTATTTTTATTTATTTAATCCTCATGATGACCTCATGGAGTAGGTACTGTTATTTTTCCCACCTAACAAATAAGAACCATAGTGAAGAAAAGAAACTTAATCACTTGCCAAAGATCACAAATATACTAAATGGTAGAACTAGGACATGTACCCAGGTAATCTGATCCTAGAGTCCAAACCACAATGCTATATATACAACCACGTTGTTCTTTGCTATTCTTAAGAGTTTGTTATTCCCTTTTTGATGCATTAAGTTTTCCGTTTTGGGATCCCTCCATCACAGGCACTGGCTCTACCTGTTAGGCCACAATGCCAGCCCCTTAAGTTTTCTTGTTTGTTTTGTGTTTTGGGGGTGGTGGCTGTTGTGGTTTTTTGGCTGTGTACAATTTAATGACACCAGCACCATCAACCTGCAGTAGTCACAATCAAATGTAAAAAAGTTTTTCTGAATATCATTGCACCAGTGCTGCTGCACTCCCTAAGTCTTCTGTCCATGAGAATATTCTCCTAATGAAGTGTTTATACCATTTTTCTAATCCTGCCATTGGAGAGTAGTATATATTCAGACTTTGATTCTTTCTGCTGGAATCCTGTTTGAGAAACGCATGTCCACTTCTGTTTCTTTAAATAAAAGGTTTGTTGACTTTCAAGGAGTGGTCCACATGCTGCATTTAATTTGCTAATCTCACATTCATGTTGAAGTATGAAGAGGGCTAGTGTACTCAGACTAAGCAACTAATATAATATTCATTGCAACCACCTCAAACCCAAGTGGGAAACGTATGGCTTGTTTGGTTTTGTTCTTACGTATTTAACTTTTTTTCTTTTCTTTTTTTTTTAAAGATTTATTTACTTATTTGAAAGTAAGAGTTACACAGAGAAAAGAGGCAGAGAGAGAGACAGAGAGAGAGAGAGAGAGAGGTCTTCCATCCGCTGGTTTACTCCCTAATTGGCCACAACGGCCGGAGCTGCGCCAATCCGAAACCAGGAGCCAAGAGCTTCTTCCAGGTCTGCCACACGGGTGCAGAGGCCCAAGGCCTTGAGCTATCTTCTACTGCTTTCCCAGGCCATAGCAGAGAGCTGGACTGGAAGTAGAGCAGCTGTGTCTTGAACTGGCACCCATATGGGATGCCAGCCCCTCAGGCCAGGGCATTAACCTGCTGTGCCACAGCACCGACCCCTTTTTTCTTTTTCTTAAATAAATATATATTTATTGGAGGAAACAAAAATGAGAAATAACCTATTGCCTATATTGATAACTGCTTTTAACTTCCTGCCATAAATCCTTAAAAATTATTTTACTAAGCATTTTACATATACACTGTCTTCTTCTTTTAATTTTTATTTTATTTTTTTGTTTTATTTGATGCAGAGTTAGATAGTGAGAGAGAGAAAGAGAGAGATAGAGTGAAAGGTCTTCCTTCCGTTGGTTCACCCCCCAAATGGCCACTACAGCTGGTGCACTGTGTCGATTCAAAGCCAGGAGCCATGTGCTTCCTCCTGGTATCCCACACGGTGCAGGGCCCAAGCACTTGGGCCATCCTCCACTGCACTCCCAGGCCACAGCAAAGAGCTGGCCTGGAAGAGGAACAACCGGGACAGAATCCGGCACCCCAACCGGGACTAGAACCCGGAGTGCCAGCACTGCAGGCAGAGGATTAGCCTAGTGAGCTGCAGCGCCAGCCTACACTGTCTCCTTTCAAACAGATTATTCTGTAACATTGGAATTTCCCAATGTCACATATATCTTCCTGCAACATTGTAAATATTGCCCTTTGTTTCATTTAATAAGAATATTACATTTTATTAAAACTGACTCTTTGGAACTAGCATTGAGGGTCATGTTAATCCACTGCTTGCAATGCTGGCATCCCATATTGGAGTGCTGGTTCAAGTCCAAGCTGCTCTGCTTCCAATCTAGCTTCCTGGTAATATGCCTGGGAAAGCAATAGAAGATGGGTCAAGTGTTTGGGCCCCTGCCATCTACATGGTAAGATCAGAGGGAGTCCTTGGCTCATGGCTTCAGTCTGGCCCAGCATCAGCTGTTGCAGCCTTTTGGGGAGTGAACAGGTAGATGGAAGTTAATTTCTCTCTCTCTCCCTCTCTCCCCCTCTCTCCCCCTCTCTCCCTCTCTCTCCCCCTCTCTCCCCCTCTCTCCCTCTCTCTTCCTCTCTCTCCCCCTCTCTCCCTCTCTCTCCCTCTCTCTGTCACTCCTCTGCCTTTCAAATAGATAAATAAATCTTTTCTTTTAAAAAATTGACTCTTACACATTAAGGTTTCTTTCCAAACTTTTATAGTTATAAATAATACCATATGTATCATTCTACATATGCATGTATGTGTCCTTAGGATAAGATTTTTAAAGAGGAATACCTAAAGTCAAAGAGGGTACAAACGTTTAAGGTTTTTAAACACATATTGCTGATTTGTAATCCAAGAGGAAGCAACAAGTTATACACATATTGGTGGACTTTACGCCTACTTCTTTCCCTATTCTGAATCATGGTGTTTTTTTTTTTTAAATGTCAATTTCACATGTGATGCATATTTTATTGTTTCCTTTTCAATTTTATCAATTCAATATCCTCTTACATTACAATACTTCAAAACACTTGGAAACTAGACAGAATCTAAGGAGTGAATGGGTGTAGGCATTTGGCTTGGCAGTTAAGACACCAGTGATGGGCCGGTGCTGTGGTGTGGTCAGTAAAGCCACCACCTCCAGTGCTGACATCCCAGATGGGTGCTGGTTTGAGTTTGGCTGCTCAGTCTGTAGCTATGCCTCTCAATTAAATAAATTAATCTTAAAACAAAAAAAGGTAAGTAAACCCAAGACCGTGTTCAATTGCCATTGTACTTGGCACCCAGACAGTAACTCTGGAAAAATTGAATTGAAAGCTCCCTGAAATTATTTAAGCACACTGTGATATCACTATATAAGGAATAACATGTCATACTACTGCTAATTCATTCTTTTAAAAAATATTTATTTGAACGGCAGAGTTACAGAAAGGCAGAGGCAGAGAGAGAAGTCTTCCATCCACTGGTTCACTCCCCAGATGGCCACAACAGCTGGAGCTGGCTTGATCTGAAGCTAGGAACCAGGAGCTTAATTTCAGGCCTTCCACGTAGGTGCAGGCGCTCAAGGACTTGGGCCATCTTCCATTGCTTTCCACGGCCATAGCAGAGAGCTGGTAGTACACTCTCCTTGTGGGAGACACAGCTGGATTTCTGGACTCCTTACTTTGGCCTGGGTTAGCTCTGGCTGTTGTGGGCATGTGCGAAGTGCATCAATAGATGGAACATCTCTCTCTGCCTTTCAAATGAAGTGAAAATAAATAAAAAATTTTTTAAAGAAGTTTCTGAGAAAATGGAATTAAAAGGCAAGTCTTGGGGCTGACTCTATGGCACAGCAGGTTAACAACCTGGTCTGAAGTGCTGGCATCCCATATGGGTGCGGGTTTGAGTCCCAGCTACTCCTCTTGCCATCCAGTTCTCTGCTATAGCCTGGGAAAACAGTAGAAGATGGCCCAAGTCCTTGGGCCCCTGCACCCGCGTGGGAGACATGGAAGAAGCTCCTGGCTCCTGGTTTCAGATAGGCGTAGCTCTGGCTGTTAAGACCATCTGGGGAGTGAACCAGCGGATGGAAGACTTCTCTTTCTCTTTGCCTCTCCTCTATCTCTGTGTAACTCTGACTTTCAAATAAATAAATAAATAAATCTTAAAAAAAAGAGGCAAGTCTTAGTCAATTTGGTACAGTCAATTTGGTACAAAAAATTTGGCCAAGGCCTGGAAAAGTAGTAGAAGATGTCCCAGGTTCTTGGGCCCCTGTGCCTGAGTGGGAGACCCAGAAGAAGCTCCTGGCTCCTGGCTCCAGATGGGTGCAGCTCCGGCCATTGCAGCCAATTGGGGAGTGAATCAGTGGATGAAAGACCTCTCTCTCTCTTTGCATCTCCTTCTCTATCTGTATAACTCTGATTTTCAAATAAATAAAATAAATGTTTTTAAAAAACTTTTTTTGAAATCCTCACATAATTTTTTCTAATATGCATTTTCCATGAGCTTTTTGAAGACTGTGTGTGTGTGTCTCTGTGTGTGTGTGTGTGTGGAGAGAGAGAGAGAGAGAGAGAGAGAGAGAGAGAGAGAGGAGAGGAGAGTGAGAGCAAGTTAGGACAACAGACACAATGTACCCTTACTTTCTAAGGAGGCAGTCAAGAAAGTTTGACCTTCCTTAATTAAGACACACTGAGAAGTTACTCAACAGGGTTTGGCCCAATAACTTCCCCTGTCTCTGGATGTAAGGGCAAGAGGACTAGCAAAACTCCAGAACTCCAGAACAATTGTCAGAGCATCTAGGGAGAAAAGATTTGTGGCATTTCCCCCCGGCTCCTCATTAAACTGAGAATGAAAAGCATTGAGTATTTACAAAAGCTTAAAGTCACAGAACAGTCAGCCCTCTTGGTGCTTCCCCATACCATCTCCTGCGATGGCTGTCACAATCCTGGGCAAGGTGGGCAACCACTATTTTACTGCTAAGAAGCTTAAATGGGGGCCAGCATTGTGGCAAAGTGGGTTAGCCCTTGCTTGTGATGCCAGCGTCCCATTTGAGTGGTGGTTCAAGTCCCAGCTGCTCCACTTCCAATTCACCTCCCTGCTAATATACCTGGGAAGGCAGTGGAAGATGGTCCAAGTGCTTGGGCCCCTGCCACCCATGTAGGAGACCAGGATGAAGCTCCTGGCTCCTGGCTTCAGCCTGGCCCAGCCCTGGCCCAGCCCTGGCCATTGTGGCCATTTAGGGAGTGAGCCAGCAAGCTCTTTAATCTGCTAGCTTATTCTGCAAATGGCCTCAATACCAGGGCTAGTCCAGGCTGAAGCCAGGAGCCTGCAACTCCATCTAGATCTTCTATGTGGGTAGCAGGGACCCAATTTCCAAGCACCATCTTCCACTGCTTCCCTAGGTGCATTAGCAGGGAGCTGGATCAGAAGCAGAGAAGCTAGGATTTGGAGCAGCATTCCAATATGGGGTGCTAGGATTGCAGGTGGTGTCTTAACCCATTACGCCACAACACTGGCCTCTTGGATTCAGATCTTTTGACTGAAGCCTATGCATTTCCAATGTGCTATACTCTCAGGATAATAAGGGGTGGGAGAGACAAGGACAAAAGGCAAAAGGGACAGGGACAAAGCTTTTGGAACCCACCCAGGCTGCCAAAGTTTCAGGTTAGTTATATTTTCTAAATGCATTGAAAACATGACTGTGCACCTGTTTGCAAGGGGAACTGGAGAGCCAGTGTGAGGTATGTGCTTGAATGAGGATGGATATAAATGTATTTCTTTTACCATGATGCAATACTATACTAGTCTCCTAAGAGTGCTGCAACAACATACTGCAAACTGCATGGCTTAAAGCAACAAAAATTCATTTCTCTCCCAGTTCTGGAGGCTGCAAGTCCAAAGGCCCTATCAGCCAGCTGAAGTCAAAGTGTCTGCAGGCCACACTCTCCCTGGAGGCTCCAGGGGAGAATCTACTCCTTCCCTCTTCCAGCTTCCTGTGGTACCCACCATCCTTGGCTCATGGCTACCTCACCCTAGTCTCTACCTTAGTGGTCACACTGCCTTCTCCTCTCCTATCTGTTGCAAATGTCACTGTCTGTCTATATCTCTAAAAATATTTTATTTATTTGAAAGGTAGAATTACAGAGAGGCAGAGAGAGAGAGAGAGGTCTTCCAACCACTGATTCACTCCCCAGACAGCTGCGATGGCCAGAGCTGGGCCGATCCGAAGCCAGGAGCCAAGAGCTTTTTCAGGTCTCCTACATGAGCACAGGGACCCAAGGACTTGGGCCATTTTCTACTGCTTTCCCAGGCCACAGCAGAGAGCTGGACTGGAAGTGAAGCAACCGGGTCTTGAACCAGTGCCCATAGGGGATGCCAGCACTGCAGCAGGCAGCTTTACCCACTGCACCAGAGCACCAGCCTCTCTGCCTCTCTGCCTCTCTCTTATAAGAGCAGTTGTGACTATGATAATCCTGAATAATCTAGGATTAGCTTCCCAGTTTAAGATCCTTAACATAAGGCATCTGGAAAACACAGTTTTCAGGCTAGGACCTGACATATTTGGGGGCAGGGCATTATTCAGCCTATTACAACCACATTTCTTTCTACATCATTTTGTTATTACAAAAATACTAGGTATTTGCCATAGAAAATTAGAATCTATAGGAGTGGGCATTAACCCCAGGGGTTAAGATGTTCACATCTCATATTAGAGTACCTGGGTTTAGTTTTCATCTCAGGCTTCAAATTCCAGCTTCCTGTCAATGCAGACTCTGGGACACTGTAGATGTTGGCTCAAGTGATGGGATCCTTGCCTGCCATGTGAGAGATCCAGATTGCATTCCTGGCTCTTGGCCCCGACCTCAATCAAGTCCCTACTGTTGCAGGCATTTTGGGAGTGAACCAGTGAATGGAAGCTTTCTCTCTCCCTCTCTCTCGCCTCTCAAAATAAAAAACTGTGTTGCAAGAAAATTAGAGGGGCAGGCATTGTGGTGCAATGACTTAAACCACCACTTGGGACTTGTGCTCCCATTCCAATCCAGTTTCCTTTACATATACATCCTGGGAAGCAGCAGACGATGGCTCAAGTATTTGAATCCCTGCCACCTCGAGCAAGACCCAGACTGAGTCACCAGCTCCTGGCCCAGCTCTGGCTGGTGTGGACATTTGAGAAGTGAACCGGCAGATGGAAGATCTCTGTCTCTGTCACTCTGCCTTTCAAATAAATACATAAGCACTTGAAAATACCATACACAGACAAGCAAGAGAAGCAGACTTCAAATGACTCACTCTTCTACTCTGCAGAGAGAAGCACCATTACTGCTTTGGTGGGGAACTTTGCAGCTTGTTCTCCGGAACATACACTGACCTAAAGCTTTCATAACATTTTAAAAATCCAACTGATGGCACCACGCTTGATCTCACTTCAGAGAAGCCCACCCCACAAGTTAGAATGCACTAATGATACTCCCTAGAAAACCCAGAAAGCAGAAATTTATTTGGGGAAAGGTGTAAATATTCCCCTATGTCAGATAGGTTGTCAGCACATGTTTTTAGAAATAAGAAGTTACATAATGTAAAAAAGTTCCTGGTAGTTTGTGCAAAAATTGAGGAAAGGATATGCAAGAATATCATTCTCAAGAGAAGCTCATAGATTTCTCAATTCTTGGAGCTGTGTATAAACTGGCTTCCTGGAGTCTGTGACCACAAATGTTGACTGCGTCTGTGTCAGCAAGAACCTCGCTGTTTGCTTGCAGGAGGGAGGCCCCAGGCATCAGCCACACCATGGACTGGTATTGGAGATCTGTTTGCTCTGTGCTAACCTTGCATGGAATCCTGGGAACTGAGAATACACACAATTCCTGAAAGTCTTCTGGAATTCAAGTTCTAAGAGGTAAGCATGGGGACCAGCACTGCGGCATAGTAGGTTAACCCTCCACCTAAGGTGCTGGCGTCCCGTATGGGAGCCAGTTCATGCCCCGGCTGCTCCTCTTCCAATCCAGCTCTGTGCTATGGCCTGAGAATGCAGCAGAAGATGGCCTAAGTGCTTGGGCCCTGGCACCCAAGTGGGAGTCCTGGAAGAAATTCCTGGCTCTTGACTTCAGATCAGCCCAGCTCTAGCCATTGGGCCATCTGGGGAGTGAATCAGCAGATGGAAGACCTCTCTCTTTCTGTCTCTCCCTCTGTCTGTAACTCTGCCTCTCAAATAAATAAATAAATCTTTAAAAAAATGGCCGGCGCTGCTGCTCAATAGGCTAATCCTCCACCTAGCGGCGCTGGCACACTGGGTTCTAGTCCCGGGTGGGGCACTGGATTCTGTCCCGGTTGCCCCTCTTCCAGGCCAGCTCTCTGCTATGGCTCGGGAGTGCAGTGGAGGATGGCCCAAGTCCTTGGGCCCTGTACCCCATGGGAGACCAGGATAAGTACCTGGCTCCTGCCATCGGATCAGCGCAGTGCGCTGGCTGCGGTGGCCATTGGAGGGTGAACCAACGGCAAAGGAAGACCTTTCTCTCTGTCTCTCTCTCTCACTGTCCACTCTGCCTGTCAAAAATAAAAAAATAAAATAAAAATAAAAAAAAGAGGTAAACATGACCTTGACCGCAGTAGCAATACGCCTTAACCAAGCAAATTGGTTCATTTTATGTCTTGCTCCCTTCTTCCATTCTCTATCATAAAAATACATATTGAATTTTCAAAACACTTTGTTTCATTTTTATTTATTTATTTTTCAATCCTTCCTGGTGCCTGGCCATCCTCTGCTGCATCCCAGATTCATTTGTAGGGAACTAGAGCAGAAGCAGAGGAGCTGAGACTCCAACCCGCACTCTGACTGTAAGGCCGTCACAAAATACATCAAACACCAGAGTAAGGGAGAGGGTTTATTAGGGGAAACCTGACAGACTGGAGGGAAGGGGCGAAGAAGGAAGAGAGAACAGGAGAAAGAGCAAGAGAGAGAGAGAGAGGTGGAGAGGGTGGAGGAGAGAGAGAGAGAGAGAGAGAGAGAGAGAGAGAGATCAGGAGGAGAGAAAGAGAGCCTCTTTGTTTCATTTTTAAGCTGTAGAATAACTCAACAGCAATAGGCGCCGTATGTTGTGAATGAACAGGAAACAACTGCGTCACTGCTTCTCTGGGGGATTTCTAGTCCGGCAGCTTCAGGCTCAGGACCTGCTTCTTTCCTGGTAACTTCTGCCTCCTCTCATCTTCCATTTCTGAGGTGGTGGTGAAGAGGGAGGGATGGAGACAGACAGGGACAGAGAAACAAACTGGTTCACTCCAAATGCCCACAACATCCAGGGCTAGGCCAGGTCAAAGCCAGGAGGCTGGAATTCCATCAGGTCTCCCACATGGGTGGTGGGTGTTGTCTGCGAAGGTGTGTGACAGCAGGAAGCCAACTCAGAAGTGGAGAAGCTGGGACTCAAACCAGGTACTCCAATATGGAATGAGAGAGTCCCAAGCGGTGATGTAGCCACTGTGCTAAGTGCCTGCCCCCCCTCAAAAGTGATTCTTACTATGCTTTTTTTAAAGATTTATTTATTTATTTGAAAGTCAGAGTGACATAGAGACAAAACAGAAGCCATACAGGCAGTGGAATGTGAATAGCCATAGAGGTGAGAGGCAGAAAGGGAGAGGCAGAGGCAAAGTCAGAGTCAGAGGGAGAGGGAGAGGGAGAGGGAGAGGGAGAGGGAGAGGGAGAGGGGTCTTCCATTTGATGGTTCACTCCCCAATTGACCGTAATGGCTGGAGTTGTGCCTATCCAAAGCCAGGATCCAGGAGCTTCTTCCGGGTCTCCCACATGGGTGCAGGGGCCCAAGGCCTTGGGCCATCTTCTATTGTTTTCCCAGGCCATTGGAGAGAGCTGGATCAGAAGTGGAGCAGCCGGGACTCGAACTGGCACCCATATGGGATGCCAGCACTGCAGGCGGCGGCTTTACCTGCTACCCAACAGCACCACCCCCACCCCCCAACTATGCTCTGTAAAAAAAAAAAAAAAAAACCCTGTTCAATGGTTCCTCTTTTTGTGTGTTTTCCAGATCTACAGGAACACCAGGCCTCACTGTGAAACAGAAAGCAAATGAAACAGATTGAAAATCTTCAATCTGGGGAGAAGAGGGCAGCTGGATTGCTCAGCCAGGTGCTGTGGCAAGAGAGAATGGGATTTTGAGATTTTGGAACCAAATATTAAAAGTTGTGTTTACATTCACTTAAAGCTGTGCCTGCGAGGTATAGAAGTCTTAACACGATGAATGCAGTTGGGCATGGCTGGGTTTGCCATCTCTCTCTTTGCCATCTACCATCTCTCTCTCTCTCTCTCAAATAAATAATAATAAAACTAATTTGGGGCTGGCGTTGGGCTACATGAAGCTTAGCTACCTCCCGAGATGCCAGCATCCCCTATTAGAGGCGCAGTTCTAGTCCCAACCGCTCCGCTTCTGATCCAGCTTCCTGCTAATGAACCTGGGAAGGCAGCAGAAGATGGCCCAGATGCTTGGGCCCCCGCCACCCATGTTGGAGACCAGGATGGAGTTTCTGGCTCCTGGCACAGACCTGGCTATTGTGGCCATTTGGGCAGTGAACCAGCAGATAGAAGATCTCTCTCTCTCTGCCCTTCAGTAAATTAAAAAACCTTTACAAAAACTAATTTGAAAATTAGGACATAAAAATTTTCACATAATATTAAACAAAAACAAAA